AAAACTCTAGTTTGGCAGGGAAAGGCAACATTGAAATGAGGTTACGATCTTTCGTAAGGGAAACGACGTCTTCATCCTCATACGTATCATAGTAACTTAAACGGTCTCGGTCACCTTAACCAATTTGGTCGATCAACCAAATCCTTTTGGTTGATTTGGCCGAGAAAAAAGAAATTCAAAGTAACCATATGCGAGGATATTCTTAACTGTAAAAGTTATAAGTCATTGGCGAGGCTTGAATGATCGATTATAGATATTTCCCTATATAAAGCTACGGTAATAAAGGATTGATTATCGAGGTGTTTGTTACGGAGACCCTATTTATTGATCTTTTTCTATGAGTTTAAATGACAGATCAATCCATAAGTCGAAGGCAAATTGTCAAATCAGGCATTTTGTTAAATGCCTAGGCAAATAGTTAATTATTCTTATGTACATTGAAATTCTGATTATTTTGCTGACTGTAGACGAAATGACTCTCTGATCACGTAAATTCCCTGATCATTAGAACTTCCCGTAAAAACTTGTTCCATACAATCATGAATGCGTTGTTTTCTAGTCCCTTAATGCAAATTTATCTCAAAATATGCACCATTTCGTAAAATAAAAAGTTTTCACAATTTGGACGGATGAATAATCATGAGGAGCATTTCTGAACGGGAAATAAAATGACAGTTTGACCTTTAATGGATTTTTCTTACTCAAAATATTGAAAATTAGGGAGGTCTTTGAGAAAACTTAAAAAATCTCTCTGAAAATTTAAGTATCTGCCTAGGCATTTGATAAAATGCCTGATTTGACTATTTGACTGCGACACATATCGCAAAGCATGCCATGCCACTGGTATAAGTGTTGAGACAAGCACTTAGTTGAGCGATGTGGCAGCGGCACTGTCGACGATTAGTTTTACTCATTCGATACTTGTGGGATGGAGAGTAAACTTAGCTCGGAAATTTTACATCTCAATCGTGGCTCTTGAGAAATTATTTATGTCACGACATGCTTATTTACATGCATTCAATGCATGGACCAAGAGATCTTCCTCGCGCCGCCGCCGCTGCAGCCGAACCGTGCCGCCACAGCTTCGGGAATGGCAAACTAGAGATCAGATCAAGAGCCCGTTCACGCAAGACAGTGATTCCCAAAATACAGACAAGATGTGCTTTCCGCACCTACACTGTACTGCCATGCGAAGGAAGAACGCCGTATGAGCCTTCAGGCGTTGCCATATCTTCTTCAGTAAAGGACGAATTCACCGAGAAACTTCAGACAATTATGCACGCAATTTAGTCTAAGATATGTAAAAATTTCAAGGAAAAATATGCCGAACTTTTTTCAAAGCAAAGTATTTACTGAGAGGAACTTTAAAAACATTCGAATGTTCATACGTCGTTTTTCCAGCCGCACGGTAGTATAAGGTCCAGTTACACGATCAAATTGAGCCATCAAACTAAAGCTCTGATTGGTGGAAAAAGACCTGAGGAGAGGATGCGACTAATGATAGGCCTAGTTTGATGGCTCAATTTGATCGTGTAACTGGACCTTTAGAGAGTCGGTTTTGGGAGTCAAGGCAACGGGAGGCAAGCGAACCAAAGGCAAGCGGACAAGTCAGGCATTTTATCAAATGCACAGGCTCTTACTTAGATTCAAATTCTCATATTTATCCAACTGCAGACAGAATAATTCTTTCATCATGTGGGAAAGAGTTCTCTGAAGAAGTGAGCTTCATATACAATGGTTAGATAAGTTTTTGCTGGTTCTTAAACGCACATGCGTTTTTCTCAAAATACGCAGCATTTTATGGTATAAAAGAAATTTTACGATTTCGACAATTGAAGATGTATGGGGGGCATACAAGAGAGGCAAATGCATGAATTTCATGGGGTTTTACTCTCAAAATATTAAAGATTAGAGAGGTCTTTGTGAAAACATGCAGAACCTTGTAAAGTTTCAACATTTTACTATCTGCATATGAGGACTTATCTGTAACAATAGTGGATGTGAAAAATTACCTTTTCGAAACACATTCAAAAAACTGTTTCGGCATCGAGAAAATTTTGAGAAAATACTTGAGATGTTATCTTCGAGATCTGTACATTATACCAGAGCCAAACATATTAAATTTTTGTGTGAACAAAACAGTTTTTTAAGCGTGTTTCTAAAAGGTATTTTTTCACATCCGCCAGTGTTACATATAAGACCTCATATGGGCATATAATGAAATGCCTGACTCGACAATTTGCCTAGACGACATTATACATTCATTTATCAATATTCAATATACATTACGCATGAACTCAGATGGAAAAAACGGAGAGATAGCATCAAGATCGTTGAGGGGTTAGTGCAACTTACTGCCGGGCAGAATCTGTTAGTTGACGGCTTAAGATACAAATCAAGGAATAGATAACTTTTGTTGCAAAGCAGAGGTTTTCTGACTTGACTCAAAATTAGAGGTAAAATAATCTCCCACGTGCCGAGACATGCGTTCACATCGTTGTCCGAACAACGGGTTTTCCTCATCGATGCAGCGAAAACGCTGATAGTTACGAACCCCTAGGAGATGTGAGCATAGTGCAAAGACTCTACTCGTCTAGATATGTAGATGGTCGGAACTCATGAGCTCCTCAGTCTTGGATCAAACGTCTCCAGCGACAAATTAATCATGCCTCTTTGATACGTAGTAAAATTAAACGTACTCACAATCAGCTGAATTCTGAGACCGACCTGAGTTCCCGTATCCTTCTCACGTTTATTGCCGTTGAAGTTGGGGCCACTTCATGCTATTATGACAATATTACTGAGGAACTGTTCAAAAAAAGGTGTATGAATGACGGGAGAATGTGACCCGTATCTTTTCAATTAATATTAATTTGATCTAAAATCTATAATTTTCGTAAAACCACGTCGGCAAAAATCAGAAAATCTTATCGGATTCCTTCGAGAAAAACAGTATTGGACGAAACAATTTCTAGCGGGGATATACAACGACATTTTCTCGCAAAATGAACATTCAGACCTACGTACAGGCCAGTGTTACACCCGAAAAGAGAGCAAAAATGACCGAAGAATTGAGGAAATTCAGGGTGCACTGGAAAAAAATCGCTTGGATCTAGAGTCCAGTCTCTTGAAAACAATGACAAGAAAAAAATCCTCTTCGTTCAATCGGATTTTTGCTTGAATCAAAAGAAAATCCGCTTAAATTAAGAGGCTTGCTTCTCGATTTGACCAAAAATCCGATTGAATCAAGAGTACTTTTTCTTGTCAATGTTTTTAAGAGTCAAGACTCTAGATCCAAGCGACTTTTTTCCCCTAATGGGGCCCAGAATCGGCTCTTATGGATACCCCTCCTTTAGTTCGGCTTGCCGTGTTGAACTATTCTGGGCTGACAATGAGTTGGTCGTTTCTACTTTACTGCGTACATGTGTTGTCACCACTTCGTAACACCGGTGCACCTGTGGCAGTTGGACGAGATTTTTTGACGTGGAACGGATTTCACCGACATGCGGTGCTCTGCTTGTGAAATTCCGGCGGGTAGTGAGTATTTGTCTTTCGAGTGAGTGCCTTGGAGCATGAATCAAGGACTTACGGCTTCACCGCGGAGAGGTCACTTTCAGAATAAGCGACCGAAAAAAAATACTAGTTGGTTTCTCCCTTTTCCTCGGGGAACCATTTCTAATGGACCACTAGGCAGGGGGCGATTTTACGTATTATGAGTATGTTTCCGCATCAAAATTTCACGTAAAACACGATTTGTGCAACTGAAATTATTGAAAATGAGCCCTAACCGAGATAATTCCGTTTTCCAAAACATGAATCCATAATTACTACTCATAGAAAAAAAAACTAAAAGTTCTCGTGAGAGTCTGCGGTTAAGAAAATGACAGCCTCAGTTTCCACGCTTTGATTTAGATGTTGCACGTACTTTACACTTTCAACAAAACAGGGCGGGGAGGGGTCACTGCTCGATTGAGAAGCTTATCAAGAAACCCGTGTAGTGAGCGATTTAATGACAAAATTAAAATCTTTCGGAAATCCTAATTTTCTGTGACCAATGTTAATTAAAAACGTTGGGTATTATTTTGGTTTGGAGTTGATATTAGCTACTTTCGTTGCGCGAATCGTGTTCTGCGGGAAATTTTGAAAAGGAATCGTATATCAGAATGCTTGAGTTGTATCTTAAACATTCGTTTAATACTTGTTGTGCGTACCCTACCCCTTTACGTTTCAATCATGTGATGCAATGCAGACGAGGTATGCCGATCCCTATTCTCCCATGCTAAGGTAAAACGCTGTATGTACATTCAAGAGTTGCCAAATTTCACCGGGTAAAATATGTATTTTTGGAGCGAAGGTTTTCTATCTATTCCCTTGAAATTTTCAAATATTTTAAATTGAATTGCAAGCCAAACTGTCTGTAAAATTTGAATAAAAATATTCACAATTTTCCCAGTAAATTCGTTTTTCATTGAAGGAGATATGGCAACGTCTGAGGGCTCACACGGCGTTTTTCCTTAGCATGGCAGTATTATTGTAACGATCCAGAATTTCAACGCGGTATCGATGTTGAAAAACCTAAACCTGAGCTTAACCAATAATGTGGTGATTGCTGGCCCGGTAACTGACGGTCTTATTTTTCACGTGGAAAGATCCATCTAAAGTTTCGGTATTTAGTGTTTTTCGTATTTTCTTCTCCTAATGTAAACTTCTCCGAGATAATGTAGCACCGAGGCGAACTTTGAACTTGACTGAAACTTTACCACGGGTTTTACATGATTGCAGTGACATTCTCATGCGCCCTAAAACAGAGCCAAAGACGTCCCTGTCTCGGGACCCTTCAGTATTTCTTCCCATTACTCTTCTACCTCCGTCGGTTTTACGGCTACGTGACCTTACATCGGTTTTCCACGGACCGAGTGAAAATACCTACTCCGAATATTGACCTGTTTTTGGAAAGGATGGAAGATGCACGAAAAGAGGATAAAATATTTTGTATGTACCTGTGCTCGATCCTTTCGATAAAAAAATGAAAGGGAGACGGGGTGACACGAAACCACCACAGAAAGCCAACACTGATATCCGTCGCAGACTTAACACACACACAAAAATGCAAAAAATCACTATTACTACGTGAAATGACCCGGGTACTTTTACAAGAATACGAATATTATTTTTTTGAAAAAGCTTCTCTTCGATGGCTACAAATTAACATAAGTGCACTCCCGATAATGACATAAGAAACTACTTGAAATGTATTTTGTCTGATGAGTCAGCGAGCACAACCTTCTCATAAGACACCACTTAGCGACCAAAAAAATTGGATATCGGCATAGTACACGAAACTATTATTCTTTGACGTTGAATATGTTGCTGGCGATAGACAACACTACGGGGAAACACCGAACACTACCTAAAAATATTAACGTTCATCGTGGATACCGTCCTCAATGAGAACCAAGTAAAAGTTCATCCAAAACACAACGTTTTACACTGATAAAAGTCGATTGTTCTCCAACGCGATTGAAAGTTAAAGCTCCACGTGTAACGTGTAATGCGACACACGGCGTGTTTTTTGGATCACAATTCGATCACAATTCAACGCGAGGATCAAAAGGTATGAACTTTCGTTCCTCGAGCTTTGAGTTAGGGTTTTTTTGAAATGAAACCACGCGAGAGAACTTGGAAAAAACGAAAGCATCAAGTTCGAGGCTACGATCGGACAAGTCTCACAAACGCGGTCGCTCCGCAGCGGTACTGACAACAAACTGATGCACCGCCGGAGAGAGGAGCCCGCTGTGCTGGTAATCGCAGGTAACCGCGGCGCGACGCACAGTTGACCAACTTGAATATTAAAGAGACAAATATGGAGCTTTCAGCCAATTTTTATTTCCAAAATAAGTGAACTCAGGCCATGCTTAAAAAACAGTGTGCAAGAGGATATTTATTTAAAAATTACCTCGACATGGTGATAATAGCAAACGTAGAAACGTTAAACTCTGTTTTAGCTTCACGACCAATAAAGAATTTGCTCTCGAATTTTTTATTACTTCATGTGAAAGTGCTTAAAGAGCTGATTTTACAGTATTTTTTATAATTTTTTTCTGATATAGGAAATTGTATAAAAATCGATTTAAAAATGAGAAAATGCACCGCCTAGTGACGTCGTCTGGCGGCATTTCCCATTTAAACACACGTATTTTAGCAGATTAGATCATTCCGTTATATCCTCTCCAATAATTGTTCAATTCATGAACCAAGGGTATCCTCGTGACCAGACCACTCAGTAGTTTCCAATTGAACACGAAATTTATCAAATTTCAGACACCTGCTTCTAAATTGCGCTTATTGCTTTTCAAATTTGCCTGAACTTTTGCTTTCACTGGTTGTGGACTTAGGATTTGACAACTTGTAGTTTGTGAGCTTTGGACACCATGTAGCTACCTATAGTGTTTTTTCTTCAAATTTCTTATACGCGTCCTTCTAGTGTTTTCCTATCTTTGTTCTTTGTACTTAGCACTGGATGTAGGTCATTGTCATGGCCGAAACGTTTGCTATTATCACCATGATATGGTTATTTTTAAATACACATGCTCTTGCACAATATTTTTCTTGAGATCACTTATTATTAAGAAGAAAATCGGCTGAAAGCTCAATATTTGTTTCTTTCATTGTGCCGAATAATTCCATTAAATTATTATTCAGGGAAAAATTTAATGTCTTTCACCAAAAACAGCTCAACTCAGAAAATATGAACACAAGAAATGTACACATAGATATTTTCCATGGTTCATTTGAGTCCAAATGTGTACATCATTTCATTCTAGATCACGCGAAAAATTTCCGCTTGAAACAGCACGTGGAAGCCTTTGTCGATTTTACGGAAGCTTAAGACCACGGGAAAATTTTTCACGTGCAATTTTTCGCATCGCAGATTTTGTGGAAGCTGTTCCCCGTTCGCTCCGGATTAGTGACGAGAGGTGAATGATCGATTATCGATATTCCCCTATTTGAAGCTATGGTAAAGAATCGATTATTAGGGTGTTCATTTCGAATACCTTGTTTATCGATTCTTTTCCGTAGGTTTAAATGGCCGATCAATCGATACATCGCAAAGCACGTCACGCCACTGCTCCGAACCTCTCTCTTATTTTTGCACGTTGAAAGCGGTATGATACGCGTTTGTGGGAGGGGAATGACAGAAAAAAATTTATTTTTATTGTTAATTAGTTGTTTATTTATTTATTTATTTTATTTTTTTTTAAAAAAATTTATTTTATTTATTTTATTTTTTTTTTTTTTATTTGTATTTTTTTTTGCCGGTATTGGAACTATGAGCGATACGATGAATGGTGGAATTTGCCGGAACTGCGCTTTTGAGAACCCACGATAATTTTTTTTAAACCCTGATTCGGCCAAAAAAGGGAAAAAAGGCGGGAGCATTTCTCAAATTTTGATTTCGCGTGAAATTGTGGAAGCATAGAAGAATACACCCCTGCTTAAGTCTCAGTTTTCATCCGCATGAGCACACTGAAACACACTCACGCGTAGCTGAATGCCTGAACTAAACGCGGCCTCGCACATTTAAAAAGTCACGGCGTTATTTCGTCTCGCGGTTACTATTTTCAAATTTCTTTTACTTTCCTCTATTTCAATTGGTTTCTTTCTTTAAAATTCATGCGCATGTTTTGGGGTCGGGAGATGAGGATCCTTAACCCCCCAAAAGTTTGAATTTGTTATCAGTTTTTAATAGAATGAAATGACTTCGCTGAAACGTCTTCGAACAGATTTCATAATTTTTATACTTTCACATTAACTGGTTCCCTCGAAAAAATGTCTTAAATTATGCCATTGGAGAGTAAAAATAAAAAAATCATTAATCCTTGGGATTTAAAATGGTGAGAAATCTAAGATCGAAAATGCATATCCATTTCTCCGCGCTATGGTATCCGCGTTAGAAATGTTAGAATATCATCTTTGATTTTGGACATTTTCAGGTTTTAGTAGTCCGGTGCTATAATTCAAGATCGAACTCAGAAAATTCATCACGCCAGAAAAAAGTTGCAGGTTTTACGGTTTTATAAAAATTGAAAAAAGCGACTCTTAGCTCTTTTCCGCCGTGCTAAGGAAAACCGCCGTATGAACCTTTAGGCGTTGCCAAATTTCCTTGGGTAAATCAAGAATTTGCTGGAAAATTTGTAAAAAATTTTCTCCCAATTTTTCAGATCATTTCGTTCGCAATTTTACCTAAAGGTCTTAGAAACTTCTCGGAAAAATATTCATAACTCTTCTCAAAAATAAACATTATATGGAAGGAAATTTGGCAACTCTCGAATGTTCGTAGGGCGTTTTTCCTTAGCACGGCAGTTTTGATCCTACACGCTTTGCTCATAACATTGTACTGCACCGATTTATCCATAAAAAAACTCAACGGAGACATCGTGCGATGAAGAGTGGGAGGCGGTGATTAGACGGCACCAGGGAAGGGGGAGGGGTGGTAGAGGCGGGACAGGTGGCCCGCGGGACGTCCATAGCTTCCTCTGTCCGACTGCGACTACGCTGAGATGAGAGTTGATCGCACTCCGTGCCGTGCGTCGCGTTGCGTAGTCTAGTACTGCCGTGCTAAGGAAAAACGCCGTATGAACATTTCAGAGTTGCCAAATTTTTTTCGATAAAATGTCTATTTTTGAGGATAGATACGAACATTTTTCATTGAAATTTTCAGGGACTTTACGTTAAATTTCGAGCAAAATTATCTGAAAAATTGAAAAGGAAATATTCATAAGTTTATTAGGAAATTCGTGTTTTATCAAAGGAAATTTGGCAACGCCTGAAGGTTCATACGGCGTTTTTCCTTGGCACGGCAATAGAGTACCTGCATTCGGCGAAAACGGACTTGTCAAAAGTTTTGACTAAAAACTGAGGTACCTACACTGCTATGCTGAGGAAAAACGCACACTGGAAAAAAAAAAAAAAACACATTGGATCTAGAGTCCAGACTCTTAGAAACATTGACAAGAAAAAAAACTCTTGATTCAATCAGATTTAAGCTTAAATCAAGAACCAAGCCTCTTAATTTGAGCGGATTTCCTTTTGATTTAAGCTAAAATCTGATTGAATCGAGAGTCCCTTTTCTTGTCAATATTTTCGAGAGTCTGGACTCAAGATCCAATGTGTTTTTCTTCCCAGTGCAATATGAGCCCTCAGGCGTTGCAAAATTTCCTTTGATAAAACACGAATTTCCTGGTAAACTAATCAAAATTTTCCTCCCAATTTTTCAGATGACTTTCCTCCCAATTTCACCCCAGGCCTCTGAAAATTCCGAGGAAAAATTTTCATAACTTTCCTCAACAGTAAACAGTTAAGTGAAGGAAATTTGGCAACTCACGAATGTTCATACGGCGTTCTTCCTTAGCACGGCAGCACATGCGGAGAGTGCGGACACGTCGGTGATTTTAAAGATGAGGTTCTGGGGCTCTTGGGGCCTACATGGAACTCAAATGGTCTAGAACGATTCATTATTCCGATTTTTACGACACATTTTTTAAAAACCACGTATTTTTACGACACATTTTTTATAAACCACGTATTTAACTTATAATTAGTTTTGGCAATTGACTACTTTTTGCGGTAGGGCGCTAATATATCAACATTCTTGACCATTTTGCTTCTACATCGTAATCCGAAGATTGCCAGCGGCATTTTTCTGGTGGTTTTCGTGTAAGAAGGTTGGCTACCCTTTTGAGCCGTAGGAGCTTCATACTTCGACGCGTCCATACTCTTTCCATGTTGGTGCTTTTGATAAAACATGGAGCTTTTACAGCCGAAAAGTGCAGCCAACTTCCCCTCAAGAAAAACACTAGGTAAATGCCACTGTCATTCTTCTGATTCCAAAATCAACCCAACACCAAGAAAAAAGTATGGTTTGATCGACAGTGATATAATTATGGTAATCGCCGACAAACTCTCTAGTAATCGCCGACAGACTCCATGGTAACAAATGCCGTTAACTCGATTCGCATTCACTAAAAGTATGGTTAATGCTACCAGATGTCTTTATCTTCACCTTTCCGTGCGGTATCTGATAGTACCACGGACACGTCGAAATATGAAGCTCTAAGAGCCGAAAAGGGCAGACAATCTTCTACCACGAAAAACACTGGAAAAATGCCGCTGCCATACTGCTCACTCCAAAATCATGCCACGATGGCCAAGAATGTATAAATTAAATGAGCGTCCTCCAACAAGACAGAGTGGATTCATGCAAAAACGAAGTCAAAACGTGCCTTATTGATAACGGGTCCTAACACTTTTTGTAATAAAAAATAATTCCGTATAAATTGTTTCCACATCGTACTTTTTCTATCATATGATTTCAATCGTTTCATGCTCTTTCCTTATTCTTTCTTCATTTTGCAAAAAACACAGTTTTGAATAAATTGAAATCTTACGCAAGAAAAATTTATGAGAGTTCGCGAGAATGTTTGTTTATTTAGGTTGGGTCTCTCTTCGGGCAAAAATTACTGCCGGCCACTATTGAAAACTGCTCGCATACGCGGTAAATTTGAAAAAGCGTGCTACAAATTTCACAGAATGCGCGCTAAGAAGTGGATTTTAGATTGTTTTAATGTGCCCAACATAATTTCCGAGGGTTCGATCGACATGAATCGATCGAAAAATGAAAATGTGAATCGATCGAAACTGACTCGATCGACAAATTATTAAGAAACCGGTGTCGATTCGATCGAC